CCATTGCTATTAATGTTTGGGTGGAATACCTTGGTCCTAAATGCAACCTGAAATGGAACTTGAGTTGTTAGACTCTACATTCTAGACTATCAAGAGACAAATTCTGAGACAATCACAAGTAGACCAAAAGCCTTAGACTACACACGCAACTTGAGTTAGCCTCTAAAATTCTACCAGAGATAACTAAGAAGCCAAAAACATAAAATGGGCACCTGCTATAGATAACATGATTTTACAATAATGAGCTTTTGTCGTACAATTTTAAAAGTATTCTAAGATAAACACGATTCATGAAAAACTGAGGGAACAGAGAAACACCTTGCCACTTTATTGAATTCGAAAACACATCCTTGAATATCCCAAATATCAATTGTGAACAAAAAGAACATTTTAACATTAAAATCAAATAAAAAGAAGAATCACTTTAAACAAAGATACAGCTGATATACAGGATATTTTGGCTGACTGAATGTTGATGGCAGAAGAATCTAAAGCCTAAAGGAGTAATCAGTTTGTAGACAATTTCAACTTAGTATTATATAACACTCCCGCTAACAGACATAAAATCGAAATGCGATATTAGTAACCAACACTACTTCAAAATGCAATGTCTCTCTCGCACTGACACATCCCTCCCAACCCCTTCCAAAACAAAATACAGGAGAAGAAAAAAGCTTGAATATAATTGTAATGTGGCCTGGTACATCATGAATGACAACTACTTAAAAATGAACTGTGTCCAATAAATGCATCTGCAGCTTATGGCTAAAATAAAATTCCAGATATGATACACATGAAGTTCCCCTCACATAAACTGCAGAGAACATTGTAATGAATCACCTGCGTGTACGAATAGATAACTAAAGACTTTGTGCAGGTACCCATTTCACCCATTATATGACTCACGAAAGCTCATGTTTCAATAATGATACTCTATGGTGGAACATGACCACAACAACATATAGAAACATGAGGACCCGGTTTTTCTATTTGTACCTTTGGAGGCTTGAATGGATAATCTGGAGGGAAATGAATTGAAACTAGAAAAACACCACCCGTGTATGGACTATCACCAGGTCCCATAATTGTCGCTTGCCAATGGAACATGTCCTCGGCCACAGGACCTATAATCCATGAAAGAGAAACCCACAAGAAGTTAGTATGCCAAGTTCAGTAAAGCGATCAAAATATGCATATACCCAAGAAACACAAGAAGCATGAGCCAGCATACGAGACCTATACAAAACTCACTACAATGCCAGAATATCCTACCATCACCTTTTTACATCAGCTAAACCATTAAAGGAGGATGGTTTCGCTCCCAAATGGACCATCCTCAAATTTGATACATCTTTATTTCCTAATCGATAAAGCAAAGGGTTAAAATTTCAGTTTTTTTCTTTTCTGTCCAATTGATGAAAAGGGGCCAATTTTTTGCCAAAAATCGAAGAAGCTGGAAACAGTAGAAATCATCGAAAAAACCCCGCTAATCCGCTGCAATAGGAACTTCCATCTACATTTCTAAGACAATTTTATATATGGGATCTAAATTTAACAAAAAGAAACTCCCACCTCACCCAAGTTCGATTTCTCCCACCCCCAAGCTTAACTAATGACAAAAAAAAAAATTTTAACAAAAAGACAAGGGATTTGTCCAAGGAAAAGGAGCAAATACCAGCACTGCATGAGGTAGGGGGGTCCTTCTGCAAATCCTTGAGCTCCTTCAAGATGCGTTTAGATGCCATGACAACACCTACAAACACACACAATCACACAAAACACAACCTGAAAAACCCAGAAAAAAAAAACCTAATCAAAACCAGATCACGAGCCCAAACAAACCCAAATTTCCCAAAATCCAAACCCTAATTTCCCACAAAATCACAGATTAAAGCGGATACCTTTATTTCATATAAATTAAAAGCAAAAACAAAAATGTCAGAGTACTTGAGAATTGGATGAGAAGGGGAAGAATACCAGGAGATTGCGCGATTGGGATTTGACAGAAGCCGAGATTGAAAGAAGATGAGAAGGGCAAAAATTGGGGAAATATATTTTGTATTTTCACATATATAGAAAAAGATAAGAAAGAAAAAAGACTTTCCTAGAATTTTCTATGTTTATATTCCAACTTGGCGTGGGATCCATGTCCTCCTCCATATTACAACATCCTTCGTACCCTCCACTTAAAGCTAATTACAAAAGAAGATATTTTCCTCCACCTTTCTAGTGATGTTGATGCTTATCACCGTATTATTACTTTTTAATGAGTTTAAATCTTAAAATTTGTGTAATAGGTAAATATAAATTTCAAAATTTAAACTCATCTAATAATTATAAGTAGATTGACGAGCATTATCACCACTTACGAATGATGAGCAAAAATATACTCATTGCAAAATACATCCCTCACATTTTATTTTGTTTCTAATCAGGCACAACCTTTCAAAATTTTCACATTATTGCCTAAAATATTGAAGCACAAGTATATTCGAAAGTCACTCGTGTTTGACCATCTAAATCTTCTATAAGTGGATCAATAAGGCAATCATGGCACACATTAAATTAGTTTTAACTCAATTTTAGTATGATTGTATATTAGAAGTGATATTTCAAGTTTTAACTTATTTTGTGACGGATCTATGAGTAACATGGATGTGGTTGGATCGCCCTCAGAGAGTAGGCTATGCACTTGTTACATGGGGAGTTAGTGAAGCCACGAACAATTAGAAACAAAAGTAGCTCGAACTGATAACAATTTAATACTGAACAATGTACTTTGAATGAGGATCCTCTTTGTGAGGATTCTGGGAATCTTCACATTGTACGGTCATAAATTATTTCAAATACTTTTATTTTAAATTAAACATGAATATTATCTGATGAAAACTGGTCGCACGATATACGATAAACGGACACAATTTGAGGATCTCCAGGATCCTCATAAAGAGGATATCCTCCTGGATGTACTTTAACTGTTTTGCCACGGCACCCTTTGTTAGTTGCAATCTAGTCCCTTTCTGACCTGACAAACGAGTCATGTCTTGTCAAACTTGTTATCTGATAACGACCATACTCATTAACGGGTTGTGTCGTTTCGTGTTGGTTTAATAGGTTATGTTAGAAATTACATGTCCAACATGTAGAATTGGTCACTTAATACTACGGTCTAGTGACATTCATCTTCACTTGTAAGTGAGAGGTCTTAGGTTCGATTCTCGCCAAAGGCGAATTTGAAACATTATTGTGGCTCGCCCATTATGAGGTTTAGCCCACTCATTTATTTATAAAAATGAAACATCACATCGAATTTTAACGATTCGAACTGTCTATTTTTTAAGTTGCACCTCATATACCATCCTTGCAAAATATTAGCCAAATCGGAAATGTTTAACACATCTAATTGGGTTTAAATAAATGAACGAATATTTTGTTAAATAATAAATAATGAAAATTTATTTTGAGAATTAAATAAGCAAATTGTTTCGGATTGAATTGAATTTTTACAAGAATGATCTATGAATCGAGACTTACAAAATAGACGATTCGGATCGTTAAAGTTTAATATGGAATGAGCCCCACACCTAATCCCAATTTTTTGAAAAAAATGGAGATCCCTTTGCATAAAGAGCATATATATATATGTATGTATGTATGTATGTATGACGTGGAGACAATATACTCACATTATAGACATTGTATCAACAATATTAGCGTAATCTCAATACAATATAAGCATCATGTCAATATTATCAATATTGTAACAAAATTACCTCAATACAGTATTGTTAATAGTGAGTCATTCACTTGACTGTATAGGGTTGGATTCTTCTGACCTTTCAATTTTTATCGATTGGGTGTTATGTGCATCCATTTTTCAAAAACCTAATTCGACACTCGGACCTGGAACCTCATTGGCACCCCGGCAGTTAGGATGGGACTCAGGATTGAGACCCGCCCACTGCCTCACCTGAGAAACGGACGCAAAATTATTTTGGTGGCGTTGCCCGCCCTAATCTTTGTCATGGTAATTTTAAAGATCAATTTTTTTTATTGTTGAATTGTAAATCATTTTTACACACCTCTAATGTCATGCATTCATAATCTCCCTTGTCTAATATTTTGTGACTCATTCTTCGCTAACTCGGCTTCAATTTCTTGACACTGTCATAAAATCTCTCGTCCAAACATAAGCTTTCGAGGCAGGAATGAAGATGAATTATAAACTTGTTTTGGGCAGGGGGTTTCTGGGTGCAACGGTCCTTTCTCCTTTGGGAGAGGGTTGGTGCCTTGCACGCGACTGTTGACGTAGAGCTAATCTCACCTAATCCGTCTCTACAAAAAAAAAAAAAAGTACATCCAAGATTTATCCTTAGAAACAATATTATATATCACTTGTTACTTGGTTGTGTTTCAAACAACTTTTATCAACGAAAGAGAAAGAGATTCAAATTTAAGACATCTTTCAACGTAAGAAATAGATTTCACTACGCAGTGTCAACTATTGATTAGTCAACATATAATTCTTCTGCGTATTAAGGCCATAACTCATAAGGTGATGAGGAAAGAAATCAAAACAAAAGCAACATATAGACATTCATCTGCAGATTGCACCCCCTTACACGAAATGTAATACATTTGATCACGATATAAGACTAGTATTTAAAACCTTAAACACGTTTAATGATTCTACACAAGTTTCTCAACACTAATGAAAGATCCAGCACCACAAAAAGAAGGAAAAGCTTTTAAGATTAGACCTGATAGGCTAATACATAACAAAACAACCAAACCTTACATATCCAATCGACGTATGATATATGATGGCTCAAACCATTCTTCCCTCATCACTATTGGTAGCTGTTTTTCCTGCACCACTTTGAATCTCTCGTCTCGTCTAAAGTAATCCCACGATCATGTCAGAGAGTTGAGGAAAAACGCAGGATCTAAACTATTATCCGTAACATAGAGAACGCGGATGGAGATCATCGAGGATTTCATTATATGGGGATAATCTTATAATCACATTTAGCCTTGTTTCCGAAATCAATTTCCCTTTGCTTGGCATCGCAGTTTGAAATGATCGGAATGTCATTAAACTGAATTCCTCCAATGGGGAAGCTAACGCTTCCGGTCATGCCTAAATTCAGTGTCATGTCCCTATTTTTCATGTCGATCTTGAGTTGGTCTGCGTCGTCTTTGTCAATCTTGGATTTATTAACCCTAACAGTTCCATTCAAGAACTTGGTGTTCTTGTGGCCCTGAGTAAACTGAGAAAACTGGGTGCTACCTAGCGGGATGTGCGCAGACGTAACTTTGATCTTGAAGGCGCCATACTTGAGCTCAGTTTTGTCATTCTTGTTAAAGAACTCCACAAGAAAATCTACATTTCCCTTCAAGACAATGTTATTGTGGTTTTTAGTAAAGTTGAGGCTGGTGGCGTTGAATCTTCGGATGTAGATTGTTGGGAGATACGAATGGAAGATGGCCACGCAAATGAAACCAATAATGAGAGCGAGAATCACAATGGCGAAGAAGACCAAGCAGCACCATGCGCAGCAAGCGTAGCAGCCTGGACGAATACGCTTGGGGCGCTCATGGTCAAGGTCGGGAACCGGATAGGGCTGTTCGCGGACCTTGCTGGGAGCTGAGGCAGTTTCGGAAAAGGCAACATGCCGCGCACTGCTGGCCTTTGATTGGTTGCGGCCAGGAGGTGGAGGCAAGGATGAACCGTCTGCCATTGTTGGAACTCTAGCTAGCACCTCCTTGCCAGATCACGGAGGATAGCAATCGACGATAAAGGTGACGAGTTTTTTGAAGGATCTTTCATGTGTTTAGAGAAACATAGTACTTTTCTTGGCTGGAAACCGAGGACCACAATCTATGAACATAGTACTTTTCTTGGCTGGAAACCGAGGACCACAATCTATGTACGGAAAATCGGAGTTGGCATGCAAAGGAAATTGGAATCGCCAGACTTGGAGAGAAACTGACCTACAACGGAAATGCAACCCCTAAATACATATATATACCCTCCTATTTTCAAGGGCCTAGAACGTGCATCTCCGTAAGAGTAGCTTTAGACCAAGTGACCAACATTTCTAACCACATTAGCTGTCTCATAATGTGATGGTGTGTACTTTCAACGTCAATTTTATAGTGATTAAAATGTGACTATAGGAATAGGAAATAATTTCCGCATGCCAATGTTTATTTATGTCACTTGAATATCTATATGATTTATTCAATCCAAATGTCAGAAATAAACATGAATGTGCGGAAATCACTTCTCTAAAACAAAAATCAGACAAAACTATTGAATTATTGAAGATCGTCGATTAATTCATTATGTTAAAATTCAATATTACAACAAATCAAGAAAACAAAAAACCCCACCTAAACTACTTGGAAAAATTTCACAATTGGACTGATAAATTGCCACTCTACAAAGCCTTGCATGTAATTGAATAATGCTTGGGAAAACCTTACGAGGCATGTACAAAAAATGTACAGTTTCTATCATGAATTTCTCAGATCCTACTAAATGAAAACAGCAACAAGTTTGAGCGGTCAAGGAGTCTGCACAGTTGAGTCCTTTGATTTATTCTCTTCGGAAGATGGCCGGTTCTCTGAGTCTGATTGCCGGATTTCTTCAATCATTCTAACAACTTCTTCCATGCTCGGTCGCATATCCGGAACCTTTGCCACGCACGCCATTGCAATTTGCAACATTTGAACCATTTCTTCTTCAATGTTTTGGTACCTCATCAGTTCAACGTCAAATACCTCTGCGGTCCACTCCTCCCTGACCACGGACTGGACCCACCGAGGAAGATCAACCATATCATCACGCCCCGGCGACCGGAGTGGAGCTTTTCCAGTCAGCATCTCAAGGAGGACGACGCCAAAGCTATACACATCTGATTTATGAGAGTGCCTGCGGGTTTCAATCACCTCTGGAGCACGATAGCCTGCACTCCGAGCAGTGGCAGGAACATTCATGAGAGGAGTCAGGCCAACATCGGAGATGCACCCATTGAGGTCTTGGCTAAGAAGGACATTTGTGGACTTGATATTTCCATGAGTCAATTTTGGACCACCCACAGAATGGATATGAGCAATTCCCCTCGCGGTGCCAAGGGAAATCTTTACCCTCGAGTCCCAGTCTAATGCAGTTCTTCCGCTTCCTCGGTTTCCTGCCATAAGATTCAATAAAAATTGAGTGTGGTGCACAAGACAGTGGCTTCAACAAACAGCTGAATTTTCTAAAAAGTTGATCTAAATAGCCTGTCCTGAATAGATCCATTACAGACTTTCGAAACAAGAACTAAAAGTGATTGCCAATACAGAGAAGAAAAATTGAAGATAGCAAGCTCCTTTGCACACTTCAGTAAACTGAAAGCAGTTGCTGAACTCGGAAGTATGATGTATCTTTCGTATTGGATATGGGGATGGAAAGTAGAACGGTAACCTGATCTTTTATTACGCATAACAGATGAGCATGTTTTACCATCAAGCAAAAAGGAAACAGAAATAGTTGGGAAAAGTAATAGGTGACACTGGTTGAAGAATGGGGTATCACAATGCCTCCTCCAATGAGGACTAGAAAACCATTAGGCATACGGAGGTCAAACCAAAATTCAAATACTCGTGGGATTCATGCAGATGAAATGCATCCGAGTTGCAAAGCACGTAATTATAACTCTGAAATCCCAACATAACACCATCATTATCGAGTATGCTGCTCGACTACGTTGATGAAAACTCCTTAATTTAAAATGATGTTTCTCTACAAGTATTCTACAGAAACTATATACTCTTCACGGTAATTACCTGCATTTTCTCTTAGATATGCACACAAGTTCTCACTTACAAATGGTGTGTTTATTTTTATGAAAGAGATAAAAAAGAAAGAAATAGAGTAGTGACATGCATACCATGTAAAAGCGCAGATAAGCTCCCATTTGAGATACAATCATAAACTAGAAGCTTCTCGTCTTTTGAGTAATAATAAGCACGGAGTGGAACAACATTTGCGTGCTGTCCAACTCTTCCCACAATCTCCATTTTCTGTTCAAAATCCCTCTGCCCAACGACCACTTCCTTCAACCTTTTAACTACCACTGTTGTTGCCTCCTCTAAGACCGCCTTGTACGCAGTACCATAACTTCCCTTTCCTAAGACTTCAGCTGAAGCCCTCAACAAATCATCAAGATCAAAATTGTAAGAACAACCTTCAAAGAAAACCAGTTTGTTCTTCTCGGGTTCCTGCACCCCACTCCCAAACTCCTCTTTGGGCTTCTCACTCCTTCCGCCGGTAGAAGACTTCCCTTTCAATACACTAGTTCCTCTGTTGTCCTTCTTCTTTAAACAGCAGAGAACTATAATTAGGCCTAACAGCAACAGCAGAACAGACCCTCCAACTGCAATAGCAATGATGTATCCCAACTTCAGCTTTTTCTGGGAGCTTTTTTTATGAGGAGCTACTGGTGGTGGTCGATTGGAAGTAGGAGGTGGCGGAGGAAGGACGAGGGAGCAAGGCTTAAGAGGCCCTCCACATAAACGTGAATTTCCCACAAAGGATGAATAGGGGAACCTTTGAAGGGATGATGGTATAGAGCCATTAATACGGTTGTAACTTAAATTTAGACGCTTGAGCTTAGGTAGGTCGAGATCAGGTATAGGTCCGGAAAGGGTGTTGTTCTGGAGGCTCAATTCTGTGAGTTGTGTCAAATTACGCATTGTTTGTGGAATGTTGCCTGTGAAGGAATTAAATGATAAATCCAATACATTGAGTTGAGGTGAAAAGGAGGTAGGAATGTCACCAGAGAAGTTGTTACGTTGCAGGTATAAGCGCTGGAGTGCAGGAAGGGAGGTAATATCAGAAGGAAGGACACCGCGGAGAAGATTAGACCGAAGGCTAAGAATTCGGAGGGCATCTAGCCTACCAAGGGTGTTTGGTGGGACAGAGCCCACCAGTCCAACTCCAGGAAGTCGGAGGGAAGTAACCCGGGTGCCATTTGGAGTGCAAGTGATGCCAACCCAGGATGTGCAGACAGGGGTAGCAGGGTTCCAACTAAGCTTTCGACGATGGGGAACAGCATCGGCGAAGTCAAGAAGCGCTTGCCTATCGGAAGTCAGGTCAGAGAAAACCAGGGGAAGAAGAATGGCAATGCCAAAAAGGGAGGGAATAACTAAAAAGGGACAGGACTTCATGGGGAGCTGTTTCGATCAAAGTCTACGAAAGTGACAAGAGAAAAATCAAAATGCAACCTCTGGAGGGCTCACAATCTCCTGGTTCAGCAGGAAAACGAACAAATGAAGATTAGGTAGTCAATAATGCAAAGCATTTACATTAAGTAATTTGACCAAATTAAAACTTAATCCAACAGTCACAAGAAAAGTGGGTTTAGTCCAAAGCAACCACATTGACCAAATTCAACATTTTAATTATAGTAAAATGAATGAAACTGAAAAAATCATTCGTGGGTTGATTAGAAATTAAGTGGAAGAACAAGCAGTAAGGCATTCATGCAAGGAGGTAGCACAAAAGAAAGCACTTTTCACAATGGCAGGCATAGCAAGTTCAGATCTATAAGCTCTCTTTTACCTGCAGTTTGCGGCAGAGAATGCAGTGAGAGCCGAGGAGCTGCCTGAGCTGAACAGCATAGGGTAAAGCTCCTTCCTTGAAGTGAAAAGCTTCAGATCCAATCCAGGCATTACAGCCACAGGTTTCTTCTGAGATAACCACTCACTCAGCAGAAATGTGGGTGCAATAAAAGCACAAAAGTCTGAGACTTTTGAGAATTTGGTGGGATTTTAAGCAGGAAAAAGTGCTTCAAATTTTCTTACCAGACAATTGAGCAAAAGGGAAATTTCAAAGCTTGGTTTTGGAGATTGAGAAAAGGAAAATTTAGTGTTTGAATTGAAAAAGTGGAAGGGGAGAAAGGAGAAGGGAAGGGGAAAGAAGATGAAGGAATGAGTAAATTAGAGGGATAAAAGAAAAGGGAGATGAAGAGGACTGCACTGCCTTTGTGTGTGTGAGCTGTGTGCCCATCTCTCTCACTTCGTGAGTAAACTGAGAGAGACAAAGCCCAGCTCAAAGCACTACTGTTTTTTTGTTTTGGCTTAACACTAATTTATTTTTTTTGTAAAACAACAATTTAAACAACTCTAATTAAAAAAATATGTATATATTCAAACTCAACTACATAAGAGTTGAAGCACTTTTTTCTTAAATTACTTTAATCTTTGAAAAGTGATATTTAAACATGGATATAAAAGAATGGCTACAATGTCTTAAATATTTAGTTAGTTGACTTAACCTACATCTTCTTCACATGAGAAATATTAAGGAGACTTTCTAAAAAAAAAATGGGACTCTCCATAGATTTTTTGTCACCCTATATTTTTAGCACAATATTTTATAATATTAACATAATAATTAACACTAAACTGTGAGATAACATGAAATATATGAATAGTCATATTTTGAGAATCTCATTAGCGTTGCTCTAAAATAGTATCATAGTACATGGTAAAATATTGAACCGATTTGGTTTTCAATTTGAAGAATTGAGACGTTACTCGAAGTCTTCCTAGCCGTTACCTTGGTTGTTTTCTCCTACGCTCTTTTGAGAAAATTGTTAAGGTAATACACGTCAGTGTTTGTACGTCTAGAAACCTTTTCCTTCACTGTACTCATATCGACTCGGCAGGGGTAACTTTTTATGGTCAATTA